CCACATGAAATTTGGGACATGATAGGTGAGTCCGATGATCTCCACCCTCCACCTTAGGCTGGTCATAGTGGGGAGTAACTTAGACTAGTGTCATAGTATCATAGATGGCTTCATTTATTAGCACGTAGACTCATCTTGTCTTGGAAAGCGTTATGTTACAGTAACATATTATTTTACCACCTCTCTTTAATTACTTGCCACATAAGCAGAATTTTCTCGAAGTGCGCTATGTTACTAGCTAAGTTACTCCCACTATGACTAGTCTTACAATGCACATGCATCCCAAAAAAATCCATTGGGTCCCGTGGGGCTGCAGGGGATAGGATAATAGTTTCTAGGATGTGGATGTGTCAACATAACAACATGCACTTGTGTTTACGTGTCTTGCCTCAAGGTGGTAATGGGGAATACCCATCTGGATATTGTTAAACCATCCCCGTACCCATTCTCATGTCGGAATGGGCAAATGCCCTCCTCTCCATCTCCTCTGATTTCACCATGTTACCGAAAAACAAACATAACTTCTCCTCATCTCTTTCTTAACTGCCAAATATGTATGGAAAACACAATAACTTTGTATACTAAATCCCTAATTAACAAACTATACTAGCCATCGGGGTTTATTTCATGTTACAATAGGAAATAACCGAAGTTCGCTAAACTTCTGTGCTTCAAACATGTGCGAACTGTTTTCTTTGACTCCCACTAATCTAGGCAATCAGCTTCACGCGCCGCACATCCTTATGATTTGTGAATGGAGGGAATTCAAACTCAGCGCTGCATTTTGCATCTATAGCATAAGAGCAATTAAACTAGGCCGAACCAATCTTGCGTCGGAACCCCTGCGTCAATTTGATCTCCGACGCGGGAGAACATTTCGTTCATGGCGAGTCCTCCGTCATAGCAGCCCAAGGATGATGTAGTAGAGCAGGACGATCGGAAGAGCTATTAGCATGCCAAATATGACCCTGTAGAAAGGCAAAATAGTAAATAAATAAGCATTTGGCGTGAACCTAAATTCTTGACCATATTAGGGCATTCTCCATTTCAGGTATGCTTAGAGTGCTATCAGGTTTTCGTCCCTCGGATTAGAATTTTCCCCCAATGGTACGTTTCTCGACGACGCATCGAGCCCTATCCCATTTCCTCTTTTGATTTTGACCGGCGTATTTTTATTATAAAGTTATATGAAAAGATAGAGTAATTCTTATTGGGGGAGATATTTGATACTGATTGTTCTTGGCTTACCCGGTGCATAGAATGGCGGCATGGAGGTTGTACTCTTTGGCGAAGACGAACGGCACGATCCCTTGCGGCAGAGTGGCCTACGTACATACATGGCAACATGTCACGTACGTACTTTGGTTTTTGAGAATTACGTACGTACTTTGTTGGAATTGTCATCGTCATGTATTGTTTTGTACTGGAATCATATATTCGTACGTACCAGCCACGTACCTGGACAACGGCGATGCGCAGCAGCGTGCCTCGGAGGCCGACGGCGGCGGAGGAGACGGCCATGACCGCGGGGCCGAGCAGGAAGCGGACGGCCATGGTGGACGCCGCCGCGGATTTGCCGCAGGCGATGAGCTTGGGCTGCAGGGCCATGAACAGCCCCAGGCTGAACATGGCCATCCCCAGCCCCGCGTCGGAGAGGATGGAGATGGACTTGGCCACGATCGCCGGCATCGTGACGTGGTACCTGCGGCGACGAGTCGGCACGGCCGTCGTCATGACTGATCATCACCGGTCGATCGAAGAAGAAGAAAATGGATCACGTACCGGAACTCGATGAGTGACCAGACGAGGCCGACGACGCTGGCGTACGTGTTGGGGTTCCGGATCAGCCGGCGCCACACCATGGTCAGGATCAGCCGCAGCATCACGCTCGCCGGCGGCTTTCCCACCTCGTCGCCGACCTTCTTCGTCTCATCCTGCTCCTGCTCCTTCTCCGTCGCCTCCGTGCCGGCCTCCAGCCTCTCCAGCGACTCCTGCGCTGCCGCCTCAGAAATGACGCGCTCGACGCCGGCCGCTCCCGTCCGGTTCACTGCAACAAAGTTCACGCTCGAGTTTTTTTTTTAATTTTTGAGCAAAAGAGAGGTTTTCGTTCACGTTCGGCTACGTGTGCGCGTTTGTGAGGTGATCAGATACTGATAAGGCGGGGTCAGTTTGGGGATGTGGCGAGAGACTGATGGGCGTACATCTGGAGGAGTCGGAGTTGGTGGACGTCGCGTCGGAGGGGGTACGCCGGCGGCCGCTTTCCTTGGCGCTGCTGCGGAAGACCGGCAGGCCGCTCACCTCGGACGCGCCGGACGCGCCGGAGCTCCAGTCGAACATGTGCACGTTGTCCTTGGGGTCCTCGACCGGCGCCACGGCCGCCGTCGATCTGCCCCGCGGCGCGTGCTCGTCGTAGCTGGCCGACGGCCTCGGCGTGTGCTGCCGCGACGAGTGCAGCGAGAACAGGTCGGCCGCGCCGAAGCTGGACGCGCGCACCGCGCCGTGCGGCGGCGGCGGCGGCGGCAGAGCAGGCGCGGCGGCGCCGCCGCCGCCTCCCGTGGTCGCGGAGAAGTCGCCGTGGGTGAAGCTGGAGGAGCCCCTGGGCGTGTGGTTCCGCGACGAGCTCACCGAGAAGATCTCCACGCCGGTCACGCTCGACTCGCGCGCCGGCGACGGCATCCCCGCCGCGGCGCCGTTGAGGAGGGAGCGGCGGGAGAGCGACGCCGCGGACCGGCGCACGACGACGCGCATGCTCCCGTCGGGCGCGACCTCGGCCTGCGCCTCGGCGTGGCTTCCGTCGAGCGACACGACGTCCGGGTCGACGCGCACGTCGGCGACGGCGGCGGCCGGGAACCTCCCCGAGATGAGCAGGCGCGCGGCGCGGAACTCGAAGAGGAAGAGAAGCAGCGTGCACCAGATGATGCACTGGAGGACGACGATCTGCACCATGAGGTCGCCGGCGTGGCGGCCGTACATGGCTACGAGGAGCGGGATGCCCATGATGAGCGTGTTGGGCATCGTCGCGGAGGAGAAGAGCGTGATGGACCAGTCGAGCCCGGCGAAGGGGACGGGGAGGCGGGACCACACGGCGAGCGAGGCGAGGACGAGGAGCTTCTGCAGCGTATCGGCGGCGGCGAAGCGCAGGTCCATGGCGTACAGGTTGCTGCCGGAGATGACCTTGAAGGAGAGCAGCGGGACGGCGAAGACGGCGACGAAGCGGTTGATCCCGGCGCACTGGTCCGCCGTGATCACCCCCCACCACCGCACCGAGCCGTACGCCAGGATCATCGCCACGTACAGCGGCACCATCGCCGTCAGCACCGTGTACAGATCATGCCACGAGATCATGGCGCCGCCCAGCTGGCCACGTACAGGACTTGCTCCTCCTCCTCCGACGACGACGATCACCGCGCCGCCGGCCGAGCGATCTTTGACTGGGCGATCAGTGGAGGGATCGATCTGGAGTCGGTTGCATGCAAATCGATGGAGAGCGAGTGGATCGCGGGCAGTGCGGTGTGTCCGTGCTCCTGGGTTGAGTTTTGCGGCACGCGCGGGTGGGGACTATTTATACCGTGGGCCGGGTCTGCATCTCGACCGAGGCCCGCGAGGCATTCCGAACGGTAAATCACATCAAATCCCAAGTGGGTTTTTGCCTCGTGTTTCTTTCCCTCTTTTCATCTCACGATGAAACCTTTCAACTTACAACGTGTTTCTTTAGACTAAAAAATATTTTAAAAAATACAACGCGTTTCTTTCTGCATTTTCGTCACAACGAGCTGTCGAACCAGAAACTGAAATGCTGATAAGGAACGTCTGTTTGACCTCTGCCTTTTCGCGGCTAGATATTTTCTGGGTTTTGCGGTGGGATGCTTTCCGTGTTAATGTATGCATGTATGTTTCTAGGGCATTTCTAAGATGTTGATACTCTGCGTATCTAGGGCATTAGATGCATGCGTCTACAAAATAGACGAAATTCACCATAAAGTTGTATGTGTAGCAAAGCGCGTGATGCATGAGATCTTCCACCGAAGAAGGAACTCACCAATGTAGCCAAAGAATAGACGCTGCTGATTTTGAATCTCAAATGGTAAGTGCCACCCATGCGGCATGAAGCATTCCGACCTTGACGTTTTTTACGACTAAAGTTGTCATATGAAAGTTGTCATCATCGCGTCACTAAACTTATCAGGATCACACGTGTCCGTGCCACATGTGTGGCATCTATCAAGGTCCTTCTAAATTCTGTAGGTAATAAGACTGTAACATTACATATGGGGCATCCTATAACCACAAGTAGGTCAGGTGCTCTCTACTCGAAAGTTTGGCTAAGAAATCTGCACCCCTATTTTCAGTACAAATAACCTTTGTGTGTTGTTTATCATAGAAAAAATGGACATCATTCGTTTGCGTTGAATTTTTTTTTTGTAAGATGTGATGACTATTGACTAAATATTGCATGAGAAAATTACAGTCAAAACATGAATCTGGGCAGTCAAAATATGCCTTATATTCTGGAACATGAAGAGTATGTATTATTATTTATTAGCTGTGTTTTTCAGCTATTTTGCATCGTCATTTCTATAAATTCTGCCGTTGTGTTAGGATTAGATGATGAATCTACCAAAGGACAGGGAATAGTCATCCATAGTATCTGAACATCTTGAACGAACATTTATAGACTGGAGAGGTATTTTCGAGTATTTGACAAAAACCTACCACATTAGGGTTGCCGTCCTACTGAACTACCACATTTAAAAAAGTGACTGATAACTACCAAAAATTTCTAATTTTATGACTAAAAACTATCACTTTTCAAAAATGACCAGTTTAGACGATTTAAACATGTTTATGACATGCGGGACCCAAACGCGAGCTGATGTGGCGGCAAAGTCAACTCCATTTATTTTGACCGTTACATTGACTGTTATTACAAGTGGGGCCCACCTGTCAGCAGCAATCTTCCTCCTCCTCTCTCTCTCTCTCTTTGGCATTTCCTTGAACACCTCGCGTGCACCCGGGCTTGAGCTCCAAAATCCTCCCTGGCGTTGGTTGGGGACTGGAATGGCGGCGCAACCACGGTGGCTGGAACTGTGGAAGCGGCTGCCGAAGCTGACGGAATTTTCTCCGAGGCCGTCGGCGCCACCAGCCGACGCAGCTCGTCGACGACGGCCTCCTTGAGGATCTTGTGCTCGAGCAACTTGGTGCGCAGGAAGGAGTCACACTCCTGCAGCTCCTCGACGAGGCACACGAGCTTGGCAGCGTCTGGCGCCGTGGCCGCGTGCGCCGGCTGCACCTGCACGAAGTACGGGAAGCGGGCGACGAAGAGCCCTAGGAGCTCATGTGGGAGCCCGGACCAAGGCAAAGCCTCCTCCAGCTCCTCAATGAGGCGCACGAGTTCGGTGGCGTCTGGCACACCTGGCCGTGCGGGCCGGCTGCACCTGCATGGAGGAGCGGGAGGCGGGCGAGGAAGAGCCCCAGGAGCTCATGTGGGAGCTCGAACCAAGGCGAGTACTGGCTAGGTTGGTTCGTGCGTGCTGGTGGCGGTTGTCGCCGGCAGAGGTGACCTCGCCGGAGTGACGCGAGGGGGAGAGGTGGTCGCCGGAGTGATTGGGCAGCACGAGCTCTCCCAATCCAGACATAATCAAGGCATGGGGAGAGGTGAGCGCCGGCAATGGAGGACGGCGGAGGTAGCTTGCGGGTGCACACAAGGTGTTCGAGGAAATGGCAAAGAGAGGGAGGAGGAGGAGGAGGAGGAAGAAGAAGAAGAGTGATGCTGACAGGTGGGCCCCACTTGTAATAACGGTCAAAATAAATGGAGTTGACTTTGCCGCCACGTCAGCCCTGATGGGTGGGTCCTGCATGTCATAAATGTGTTTAAATCGTCTAAACTGGTCATTTTTTAAAAATGATAGTTTTTAATCACAAAATTATAATTTTTTGGTAGTTACCAGTCACTTTCTTGAATGTGGTAGTTCAGTGGGACGGCAACCTCTAATGTGGTAGTTTTTTTGCCAAATACTCGGTATTTTCACGAAGTATATTAGATTGTAGTAATGAACAAATTCGTAAGTGTGCCTAGGTGAAAAGCATAACCTTTTCATTTGCCAAGGATTGCGAAAATAATGTTAAATCCTAGGTTTTGATATGCTTGTTAATTTTTGTAAAGGACAAACCAAGTCCTGTACAAAAATAGTCAGTGCTATTTTTTTCATAGGAGCATCCATTTTTCTTAGGTTCTTTGAACCAACCTGTGGTTAGATGGTTAGCGGGATAGTGGTATCCTAGTCCATCAGGATTCAAGTCGTGGTGCTTGCATTTCTGGATTTATTTTAGAATTTCCGGCGTCGCGCTTTCAGTGGGAAGAGACGTTCTCGTCGACGACGAGACGCCTACGGTGACTTCGTAAATCTCAAGATGATATGCCGTCTCAGTCTATCGAAAGTGCATATATGGATAGGGTGTGCATGTGTGCGTTTATAGTGATAAGTGTATGCGCGTATGTATGAGTGGTTGCATCTGTACTGTGTTAAAAAAAATCAAAGACCATGCACTATATGCATTTATTTCTTGGAATCTATTTGTATTTGTAGTAATAGGAAAAGTAGTATATCCATTTTATGAGTAGGCGTTCCCCGAGGACTTATGATAACATATTGCATTGCCGTGAGCCATGCATGCATATCTGTACGTGCAGCGGCACCACCGCCTGGCAGCTCCGGGAAATGCTGGCAAACCAACGAAAATGGCAAGTACGTAGAACGACACACGGCCAGTGCGGATCAGATGGAATCCACGGGCCGATGGAAGGATCGATTGATCGGCGCCGCTGATATGTTTCCCATCGACATCCTCGTGTTTCTTTCTCTCGTTTCTTCTCTTGTCACAAGTCACACCAAACACGTGCAAAATCGGGGCGGCGGTGCACCGTGCACGCGTGAT